TTTGTTGGTATACGTTGCTAGCTCCTGTTGCTGCAGAGTTGCTTTAATTCCTCACTCTTTAACAAGGTGCTGAAAACATAACTCAAAGATTTTGTCCGTATTGACATGATAGCATCAGCTTTTGATCTATTTTCTTTTGAAGTGGTCAGTTGTGTCTTATAACCTACCATGGGGTGTCAAAATGGTATGCAATGGCAATTTATCAGTCTGCTATCAGTTTTTGATTAAATTAAAGTTAGCAATTACATGGATTACATTTTTACTCTAGTTTGACTGAGGCTTTTAACTGTTGGTATAATTCATGACTGATCCATGGTTTCTTGGTGTTTATACCAAGTTCTGATCCTACCATCCAAACGTCGTGGTAAAAATTTAATCTAATCTCACCAGGTAACGTTTTTCCTATATTCTATTATCCAAATTTGGTCATGTGAATGGTAGCCTCAGTTTGCTTTTCTTAGCTGACATACGTGAGACCCAGTGTGGTCATATGATGGTCTTAAATACTCAAACCAACTTGTCTGCCAACGACAAACCATGCAACCTTCAAAGTGATGTAAGTCACTTAATTCCCCATTCCGTTGCTCAGTTTGTACTTCTTCACCATTTATAAATACAGCAATGCATTGAGATATTGCCATGGGATTGGCTGATTAGATGTTCATTTTAACAAGCAGTTGAACAGGTATGCCTAATAATCTGGTCAGCGTAAATTTAGGGGTTGGAATTGCAGGCTTCATGTAGTGTTTATCTCTATGACTACTTAATTCAAAGAAGCTGTTAACTAGTATTTATGAATCACATGTCATAGGGTGAATCTGAAATCCCAGCATACAAAACTCTTATTAAAGTTGTGTTTGCTACTGCCTAGACTACTCCTTTAGGCTCAAAGAACAGTTCAGACTAAATTACTTTTACTTTTTAACATTCATTCGCAGGACTATTAAAGCTGAGGATGGCAAACAAACCAGCCCTGTCCACTGCTAAAGGTGGGGAAGTATATGTACGGAGTGAATTCAGAGATTCCTGCACAATGTTGCATGTTCTCCATGCAAATCAGTTTGAAGGAGAAATTTTTGATCCAGCACTCACTGGGAAGACAGAAGAGAATTTTTACAGAGGGGCCCCACCTCAGTGGTTAAACTTCTACATCAGTGAACAGGCAGAGTCCCTTGGGACTGCTTTTATCAAAAGAGATGGATATGAGAAACTTAGGGAACAAATTCAGAAAAAGAGAACATTTCCAGGGATATCAGCTGTAAAACTGACACACCAACCAGGATGTGGGGGAACTACAATGGCCATGCAGGTGATGTGGGATTTGAGAAAAACCTTCAGGTGTGCTGTTTTAACTGGCTCCACCTCAGACATGGCAAAAGTTGCAAAAGAGGTTGTCCAACTTTTCACAGCAGGCAGTCGAAACGACCAGAACACTGTGCTGTTGTTAGTGGAATGAAAAGAAAATCCTGGAAGATCTCGAAATCAACATTATGATGACAGTTGCTGAGCAGAAGATAGTTACTCGTATGCCTGTAGTCATTTTCCTCAGCTGTGTGAGAAACAATGCACCTCAACAGAGTGACCACGTTGTCCTAAAGAACACACTCTCAGACAATGAGAAGGAAACACTCAATGAGAAGGAAACACTCAATGAGAAGGAAACACTCAATGAGAAGGAAAAATTTTGATAAGAAAAAGGAAGAGCTTCAAAAGAAGTACAAAGATAAATGTGAACAATTTCATGGCTTTAACATAATGCAAAGTAATTTCTCTCAGGACTACGTCAGGGAGGCATGTGCTGCATTAGAAAACAGCAAAAAAACAAATAAACCTCGGAAGACACAGCTTGCTGCCTTCCTGTGCCTGCTGAATGCCTACGTACCAGGGTCATATCTCCTGGAGTCTCAGTGCCTGGACTTCCTCAGACATGAAGACTACGATGACCTTTCACTGGAGGATCAAATGCAGCCTTTCAGTCATCTCATCATCACATTCCAAGAAGATGGAAGAGCTGAGAAAAAGGTCCGCATGGCTCACACTATGATAGCACAATATTGTACTGAACTGTTGGCAAAGGCAGGTGTGACCAGAAGTGACACAACAAGAAACTTCGTGAACAGTTTTTGCAGATATGAGATTCCTCTGTGGTTGCTTGGTTTTGTCAAAGAGATGTTAACCAAAAGAGAAATGAAAAAAGAAGTGGACCCAACTGAAGGCAGAGATGTTAAAGAAGAAAAACCTTTGTTTTCTAAACTTATTCTAGATATGAGAGAGCAGATACAGACATAAAAATGATGGTAAACGTCAGAGTGTGTCAGTTTTAAAAGTGGCCTCAAATACATTTGGTCAAAATCCATTTTTTCCACAAGCTCTTGCTCGTTTTTATTATATAGAACTAAAAGACTACAATCAGGCAGAAATGTGGGCACAGAGAGCAATAGAAAGAGATCCTCAAAACTCTTTTGTTGCTGACACACTTGGCCAAGTCCATAAAAACCACCTAATGAACAATGAGGTTTCTGAACCAAGAGACATTTTGAGACTGGCCAAAAAAGCCATTAAAGCTTTTGAAGATGAAGAAAAACTTGCTGAAGATGAAGATGGACCAGACATGAAAAAACATGGCAATATAAAAGTTTCACCTTTTTATAACTTCAGAGGGCAGTTTGGTTACCTGCAGGTCTGCAAAACTCTGTATGACAAACTTGTCAGTCAAAATGAAACCTGGGAAAAGTTCTCACCAAAAAAGTATCGATGGGTTCTGTCCTCGAATCACTTGGAGACAACAAACTCCAAAGATTCAATGATCTCATATTAAGCCTGCAAGATGACATTGAGAGAAAATGCATGTTTTTGGAAAAATTTCAGACTTACTCAAAGCCTAAAATGGAGAAAGATGATCCTGAATATATATCTAAAGACACCTCAGAGTGCTACCAGAAGTATGTTGGAGACACAACTGCAAAACAACTCATCCAGATGTTTCAGGAGGGAAACCTAGATGACCAGTCTGTGGAAGTGCTGTCATTTCTTGTCAAACAATACACTCAATCAGAGCTCGAAGACATATCTACAAAGTGTAGAGAAATGTGTCCAAGTGCAGATTCAGAGACAACTCTAGTCAACAACATCCTCACACTATTTATAGGGAAAATGCCATCGAGCAAGAAAGACCCACCTGAGCTGCACATGTTCTCCCTCCTCTGGTACTGGGCTGGAAATCAAGGCCGGTGTGATTATGACCTCAGTGAGTTAACTCAGCAAATGTACAAGTCTTATGAAAATACATATAAGAAGTACTTTCGAAACAGATACCTCCTTCCTGTGTTTTTCATTGGGAAAGGTGAAGGTGTGAAGAGAATTGTTCACAGAAATGTTATTGAGAAACATCTGAAAGTGATTGAAGCAGATTGGAGCGACAACTGGAAGAAAGAAGAAATCTTCAGAAATCCTGATGTTCAAGAGCTCCTTCTCAGACTTGATGGAGAAGTAAGAAACTACAAAGTGTATACAAGAGTTGGTGGCAAAGAGATTGAGATGGATGCCAATGTGAGAAACAAAATTTGGAAACCACGCTCAGTTACCTTTTACCTTGGATTCACCATCAGAGGTCCCGTGGCCTTTGACATTCAGCGCAAAACTGCAGACACAGGTAAGAAAGCATAACAGTGAAACTACAGTGAACTGTAGCTGCTTGTTATTAGTTTATAGTTCTATAGTGATCGTGTTTGTATTATGGTCTTGAAGAGATGATTTTTCAGGTTGAAAAATTCTTTTCGAAACACATTTTGTAAAACTACCAGTTTCACCAACATCATGTATTTATTTGCAAAACAACCAGCAAGTCCAGGAAATTACTCTTCTTATGAATAGTGGTACATATAAAATAAAAGTCCTGTCCCCTCGCCATTAGTGTTTTGTTGCTCTTAATAGCAATAGTATATGTTTGGAAGGAAACGTATACCAAACAGACAACTTTTTATATATCAGCAGAAAGACACCTTGGACATTAATGTAACAGCAAGTTCTAAATATTAACATGCAAATATGTTTACTAACACATTATATCTACTAAGATTACAACATCAGCTTGTATACACCTTAGTTTCTGTTGTGGAATAAGATTTTTTTAACATCCATTATTGTGTTTTTCAACTTATTTTATGTTTACTGATTGCCTCAGATCACAGTGTCATGGATCTCAGTGGAACAGCCCTGACCAACGATGTGAAAGACACCATAGATAATGAGGGACATTAAAGTTTGTGCTCAGTTTCCCCATGGGAAGGTGATTCTGAGACTTTTCTTTGTGTTTATGTGTTTACATGTAGGGGCAAAAACGAAAGGAAAGGGCTCTGTAATGTTTAAAACCAATGCAAAAGAAGTATGTGTCATGGTCATTTTTCCTGCTGCCGCAGTTTTAGTCATAAATATATTATTTCTGCTAACACCTTAGATTAAACAACAGACATTCTGATTCATAGAAAAAGTTGAGTTCCTAAAACGTTTTTGCCAAGTGTCTATTTAATACTTTGTTCGTGGATTTGTCACATCTATGTAAGCTTTTATGTAGTGAAGTTTACAAACTTTGTGAAGAAACGTCTCAAATGATTTTTTTACATTGTTGTTTAATTGTTTTAATTGGAAGTTTTAAAAACATGATATTACAGAATTGTTTTGTCATTTATAACATGACACGAGTGAAGCATAACCAATGAAACTGTTTGACATATTTTAGTTGCTGCTTGATGTATTGTACTGTTTTGATTTTTTTTTCTAAAACAGTAGATTTTTGAGATATAAGTTTATTTGTTGTTTTATTTGTGCATTAAAATGCAGTTCCGTGTATGTGCTATTACCTTCATGGATTTATTATGGATTTATGCAATTTTAAAAATAGAAAATAGGGTTTCTTTGTTCTCATTGTGTTGCATTGTGTTGTGGGTTTTTTTTCACATTTTTAATCAGACCTTTGTAGTTTTATCTTTGTTTAAATTAAGATGAGTATTGCTGAATTTATCATTACTCAGTAGGTAATGTTTTGTTTCTGCAGCACAGAATCCATTTGGAAATTTGCATACTCAAATTTGATTATGTGAATCAATATTAAAGTTACATACATAGCCACCTTTGTATAATAATATTGTTTTGCATTAATTTCAAATGTGTTTACTGGCTGTTAGTGAATTGCCAACTATCTCTCAATTTATTTGTCAAAAAACTAAAAAAGAAAGACATAAATTCTGCATTAAATATCAGAAAAACCTAATTTGCTTGAATACTTTTGTCCATGGTGATCCTTCAGTGAAACTATGCCATCTGACAGCATAATAAACATATAGTTGCACTTTGTCTGTTGATTTGAATAAACAGAGTAGCTTGAAAAGGAATCAAACTCTTGGCCTGATTATTTTTTTTATTTGTTTTATTTTTATTTTTGTCAACCACCGTCTGATGCCTATAATTACATGACAATTGTGTATGGGATAGGTATGAATGTGTGTATGAATTTCCACTTTTGGTGCAGCTCTCTGACTGTAAACATAAACATAGAGCTTGTCTGGCATATACTAAATTATCCAAAATATATTATAAACTTCCAAGTACACACGTCTTTGATAAGACGATGCTTGATGTTTAAGAAAATAACATTTACAATATAAGAAGAGATTTAAAGAATTAAATAACACTATTTGGAAAGTAAATGAGGGCTTTATTATCCAGTGGTGACAAAAAAAAACCTTAAGTGAATGTGAACAGTTACAACAGTCATAACTGACCTGAACAGTGTGTGGAAGTAAAAACCTCAAGTCACAATCTACTTCTGCTCTTTTTTATTTGAAAAATTAAAATTTAAAAAAAAAGTTTACAAGGACAGATCGTGCAGAAGAACTGAGCATGATTAAGTGAGCTACAGAATTCAGTAAGGCTATCTGACAATTAGACTCCAGTGACCCATCATAGAAGAATGAGATCCCAGTAGTGAGAGGAGAGCAAAGCACCCCCTGGAGTCTAGATGCTGGTGGCAGTCAAGATGAAGATGAGGAGCCTGGTTGCATGAATGACAGTCTGAAAGACAGAATGACAGAAGACCACTGAGATTTTAAACACAGAGAGCAGAAGGCAGGCAAGAAAATGATTGGACCAGAGTAATGATGTTAGCATTGAGTTTGCAGCCGGATGAGTGATTATAGATGTTCCTTACTGTACTTATGTCACACAGCGGAAATTTGTGTTTTTATGTTTTATCAATCTGTGTATTGGTACATAGTGTTGATTTTATTTGCATGATTTTATAGTGATATTTATATTGCATGTTTGTTTATTGATATTTATACTGCATGGTTTTATCCTCATATTTATATTTGTGTTAATGTTGTACCATGTTCCTTTAACCCACTGTGGACTAAACAGATAATTGTAGGCACCTGTGAGGTGGGGGCGTTCCCCAAGGTGGCCTATCAGCCGCCAGGTTGACCTGTTAAAGGGGATGGTGAGCGCAGAGACAAAAGGAGAGAGGAGTGACGCACGAAGGGTGAGGAGGCGAAAAAGGAACGCGTGCAAGCCCGCACGTGTGTGGAACGAACTGCTGCCTGACTGTGGGGCGCCGCGAGTTGTTCGGCGATCCAGTCCTAACGGCAGGAACGGCAACAGTGGGTGGCGATGGCCTGCAATGCACAACAGGGCAGGGATGCCCCTCTGCCTGCATCTGACGGTGAGACGAGGGAGGCCGTGTTCAGGTGTGGAGTGGGGCGGGACTGTGCGGCGACGCGCTGTCCGGAGGAGACAGGTCTGCGATAGGAGCCTCCTCCCTGGTCTGTTGCTGGCGAGTTTCCCCTTCCCGGAAGAGAAGTTCCTCTCCTGTCTCTTTCAGATAAGGACCATTCGCCCATTTGTGGCTGTGGGATTATGGGACTGTGGGAGGGTAATTTTAGTATATGGAAAACATGTTTTAGCCTTGTTTTAATAGTGTATAGTTATTTCTGCCGGCAGGGTTTTTAGCGGGTTGCAACACTACTTTTATTGTATACGGGGAATTTTATCTTGTATTTGTGACTCTGGCTGTGTTTTTTTTTTTTTTATGGAAATAAATGGTGTTTGAAGCCAGCTTAGTTTCTGTGCCCTGAGCGCTGACCCGCCCACTCCCCTTTTTCGCTTGTATGTATACCAGACGTGGTGGTGAAGATTTAGGTCCACCAGTCTTAGCGGCTACACTTAACATAGCTCATTATTTTAATCTAGGCTAAGTAGAAATATGTGGAGCTCAGCTCCCAGCATGCTGGGTGAGGACTGTGTGATGAGGGTAACGTTTTGCCACTGCACTCACAGATGTGAACATTATACCTGGATCAGTTACACAGGTCAAAGTTGCTAAAACATCAGAAATACCTGAAAGGTTTCTTATTAAATAAACCTGTTGTTGGTTCACTGTAAATTTGGTTACATCCTGAGCTCTAGAGCCTACATCAAAACACTAATATCATAAATGAAACATTCTTTAATCCAACAGAGCCGCTGGTCCATTGAGTGGATGTCATGCTTTGACTCTCCTTCTATGCAACGTAGGATTAAGCTGTATGGTTGATATGTATTTATGTGTAAATGTGTTAGTAATGTTTCTTTAAAAGTTGGCTCTGACTGTTTTCATGAAGCTTTAAACTAATTTTTAACCTCTGCTGGTACTGAAAAGCATGCATGTTAATTTGATACCTATAGACGAGGCAAAGCATAACATCCACACAATAGACCAGCTGGCCTATTATACAGTTTGCTGTGATATCAGGTTGCATTTTCTTTATGAGGCACTATATTCACAACCCCCCTTGAATTACTAAGGTTTTTTGAAGTTTCACTTTTTCCACAAACTCTCGCTGTTTTATTATATTGAAATTTGGGCTAAAGGAAGCAAAGCGGAGGGCTCATTGAAGTTCATTTGTTGCAGATACACTAGGCCAAGTCCATAAGAGCCACCTGGAGAACACAACCATTTCTGCCAGATCAAGAGAAATTTTGAGACTGGCCCAGAGGGGATTGAAGCTTTTGAAGATGAAGAAAAACCTGCTAAAAATGAACATGTCAAAGGCAAACAAGAAAGTGCTGCTTGGTTACCTATGGTATGACCATCTTATCAGACAATGAACAACAATGAACTTTGGAAGAAAGTTTTCACCAAAAACGTGTGACTGGACTCTGTCCTGAAATCCCCCAGAGATGAGAAACTTTTCATGTTTATGGAGCTAGTAAACAGCCTCAGAGATATGGTTATGAAAAAATTAGAATTTTTTTGACAGTTTCAGATTTTGTTTTGAAAAAAGATGATTCATCCTACATTTCACAAAAAAAAACAACCATCAGAATGTCTGCAAAAGGTATGTTGTGCCAAGCCAAATGATCACATCCAGAAAGCCTTCCACAAACTTAAACAAAACCTGTCTGTCACTTCTCCGGGAGTACTTTCATGTCTCGAAAGATGGACTAAATCAGACACCAAGGACATTGAACTATGTCAACATAAAGACTCTGTTGTACATGTCTTACCCAGCTACATTCAGGCCAATATCATGCTGATTAATATAAAAGAAACGTTTGGGTTTCTCCCTGAAAGCAGATGAGTTTTTATTGAGATATTTTAATGAGTTTACGTATGACTTTATATCTCATCAAATAATAAGAATAAGAATAATCAGATACATTTTTTGTTTTTACACACACAAAAAATAGAAGCTTTAATGTCAAAAACATCACTGATTCATATCCTGGCGCCTCTCGTTGGCTGGAAGCAGCAAGTACGCCACCTGTCGAAACAGGCGTGAAACACACAACAACGTCGGAGTTTGTTGTGGTCACGTGACCTGGGTGTTTTCTATCGCACTTTGGAACAGGGTTTTGAAACATCTGTGCCTCGGTGACTCAATACCAATGACCGTAGATACTCAATACGGTATCGAAACGTCAATATTGAGCTTCCCGTCGGCAGCACATAACGGTTTTGAAACCCTTTATTCAGGCTTGGATATGCGCATGCGTAGGAGGGTTTTACATGGTCGATCGAAGCACGCGCTTGTGAGTCCTCATTACACACAAATCATTGTACACGTTTGTAAATCATCATATCGTTATATCGTTCTCGTTCGTAACACTTAACTTTATCTCTATATGAACTTGAATAACAGGTTAACTCAACCACAAGCGCGAACTAGTGACGGAAAGAATAATCTTCCGTCATGAACGCGTTCATAGTGAAACGTCAGTATTTCCTGTTGTGATGAACGTTTCCTTATCAAATGAACTTATGAATACAATACCGCTTTGAAGAAGTGCGCGTAATGTTTGAATATAGGGCAAAATTAACACATACCACCTATTTTATTATTTGTGTTGGATAAATTTGCAAATTTCCACTCTTTGGCTTCTAATTGTGCAATATTTGACTTGTTTATCGACTGAACGAGTCAAGTGTAGCCCCTGCCTTAAAAAAAAAAAAAAAAATTTAAGCAAGAAGGAAATGCGCCTGGGATTGTTTTAAAACTGCTCTGACGTTAAAAGTGTAGAGGTGTCCATGTTTGTAAGGGATTATCTCTTCCTGCTTTGGGTGTGTCTACTACCGCCTGGGTTACAGTACACATCCACGGTCCCAGTGCTTGAACGCATGGCCTAATAGCAGATCGCTAGAGCTGTCCGCGACATTTTAAAGAAGGTAAGATAAATCCCGTTAAGATCTGAAAGTTTTTGTTGAAGTTAATGTTTGGTCCTTTACATGGAGAAGGCTATATATGTGTGTACTCCACCAGCAATGAAATGGCTATTTAAATATATCACATTCCATAAAGTGAATGTAAGAGCTTAATTTACAAATAGTTTAAGCTAAGACATAAGACTAAAAATGTTTGTGTTTTGTTTTTACATTCATTACCATGAAGTAAAGTGAAAGTGTGAAGATGGCAAACAGACCAGCCCTGTCCACTGCTGAAGGTGGAGAAGCAGATGCAAGGAGTAAAATCAGTGATTCCTTCTCATTTTTGGATGTCCTCCATGCCAATCAGTTTGAAGGAGAGTTTGTTGAACCTCAACACGCTGAGCAAGTGGAGGAAAACTTTTACAGAGGGGCCCCACCGAACTGGTTAAACTTCTATATCAGTGAACAAGCAGTGTCAGATGGCAATGCAACTCCTTTTATCAAACGAGATGGATATGAAACCCTTAAAGAACAAATTCACCTGAGAAGAAAAGGCCCTGGGACATCAACAATTAAACTGTTTCATCAACAAGGATGTGGGGGAACCACACTAGCTATGCAGGTGCTGTGGGACTTGAGGAAAACCTTCAGATGTGCTGTTTTGACAGGCTCAACATTAGATATCACAAAAGTTGCGCAACATGTGGTCAGCCTTTTTACAGCAGGTAGCCATGGCCACCAGAAAACGGTACTGTTGTTACTAAATGATGAGTTCATATTGGACATCCTCCAGGACACGATTATGGAAGAGATTGCTGAACAGGATATAGAAATTGATTTGCCTGTAGTAATTTTACTGAACTGTGTGAGAAGCAGTGACGGGATTATCCACCAAAAGGCGCGTTCTTATGAACTGAAACAAAAGTTCAAGACGAAAATGAGAAAATCTATTATTCTCAAAAAAGCTCTCTCAGACAGAGAGCAAGCAGACTTTGATATGAAAAAAGAAGAGCTTGGCAGAAGATTTGGTGATCGGTGCAAGCAGTTTCATGGTTTTAACATTCTGCAGTCTAATTTCTCTCAAGCCTACATCAGGAACGCATGTGCTACATTAGAACATATCAAAAGAACAAATAAGCCACTGAAGATGCAGCTTGCTGCCTTCCTGTGTCTGCTGAACGCCTACGTACCAGGTTCATATCTCCTGGAGTCTCAGTGCCTGGACTTCCTCAGAAGAGACAAGTTTGGTCACCTTTCACTGGAGGATCAAATGCAGCCTTTCAGTCATCTGATCGTCACCTTCCAACAAGGTGAAAGATCTGAAAAAAAGGTTCGCATGGCTCACAATATGATAGCTCAGTGTTGTACTGAACTGTTGGCTAATGCGGGTGTGACCAGAAGTGACACAACAAGACACTTCTTGAACAGTTTTTGCAGAAGTTATGTTCCTCCATATTTACTTGGGTTTATCAAAGACATGCTAAATAAAAGAGAAATTACGGTAATAGAGGACCCAACTCATGGCATTAAAGAATGGAAAGAAAAGTTTTCCAGACTGATTCAAGATATTACAAAGAGAGAAGATGAGGGCAACAGTCTGTCAATTTTGATCATGGCCTCAAATAAGTTCTATGAAGTTTCACTTTTTCCACAGACTCTTGCTCGTTTTTATTATATTCAACTAGAAGACTACTACAATGCAGAAATCTGGGCAAAAGAAGCAAAGCGGAGGGCTCCTTGGAGTTCATTTGTTGCAGATACACTAGGCCAAGTCCATAAGAGCCACCTAAAGAAGATGCCCGTTTATACCAGACCAAGTGAAATTTTGCAACTGGCCCAAAAAGCCATTGAAGCTTTTGAAGATGAAGAAAAACTTGCTAAAAATGAACATGCAAAGGGTAAACAAGGAGATGGGAATGTAAAAGTCTTGCGTGCTTTAAACACCAGAGGGCTGTTTGGTTATCTGGAAGTTTGCAGCCTGTTGTATGACCATCTTATCAGACATGATGAACTTTGGAAGCAAGTTCTCACAAGAACCGTGTCACTGGACTCTGTCCTGAAATCCACCGGAGATAGGAACATTGTCAGGTTTAAGGAGCTAATAAACAGCCTCAGAGATTTGGTTGAGAAAAGATTTGAATTTTTTGACACGTTTTTAACTTATTCATATTCTGTTGTTAAAAGAGACGATTCATTCTACATTTCCAGAAAGACAATAGAATGCTACAAAAAGTATGTTGGAGACGCAGAACCAAATGATCAACTCCAGAAAACCTTCCACAAACTTAAACAGAAACTGGCTGTCACTTCTCCGGGAGTACTTTCATGTCTTGAAAGATGCACTAGATCAGACACCAAGGACATTGCTGTATGGTGGAAAGAAATCTGCCAACACAAACATTCTGCTACACATGCCTTACTCAACTACGTTCTGGCCAATATCATGCTGATAAATCTGAAAGAACCTCCGTCCAGCTCCGACTACCAAAGCAGCTTTACAGATAAAATGCCATTGGCTCCTGAGATGCAACCCCGAGTTTCACATGTTAGCTCTGCTGTTGTGTTGGCCTACAGATGGTGAAGACGAATGTGGAAGGCTTTCTGGAGTTGATCATTTGGTTCTGCGTCTCCAACATACTTTTTGTAGCATTCTATTGTCTTTCTGGAAATGTAGAATGAATCGTCTCTTTTAACAACAGAATATGAATACGTTAAAAACGTGTCAAAAAATTCAAATCTTTTCTCAACCAAATCTCTGAGGCTGTTTATTAGCTCCTTAAACCTGACAATGTTCCTATCTCCAGTGGATTTCAGGACAGAGTCCAGTGACACGGTTCTTGTGAGAACTTGCTTCCAAAGTTCATCATGTCTGATAAGATGGTCATACAACAGGCTGCAAACTTCCAGATAACCAAACAGCCCTCTGGTGTTTAAAGCACGCAAGACTTTTACATTCCCATCTCCTTGTTTACCCTTTGCATGTTCATTTTTAGCAAGTTTTTCTTCATCTTCAAAAGCTTCAATGGCTTTTTGGGCCAGTGTCAAAATTTCGCTTGGTCTGGTATAAACGGGCATCTTCTTTAGGTGGCTCTTATGGACTTGGCCTAGTGTATCTGCAACAAATGAACTCCAAGGAGCCCTCCGCTTTGCTTCTTTTGCCCAGATTTCTGCATTGTAGTAGTCTTCTAGTTGAATATAATAAAAACGAGCAAGAGTCTGTGGAAAAAGTGAAACTTCATAAAACTTATTTGAGGCCATGATCAAAATTGACAGACTGTTGCCCTCATCTTCTCTCTTTGTGATATCTTGAATCAGTCTGGAAAACTTTTCTTTCCATTCTTTAATGCCATGAGTTGGGTCCTCTATTACCGTAATTTCTCTTTTATTTAGCATGTCTTTGATAAACCCAAGTAAATATGGAGGAACATAACTTCTGCAAAAACTGTTCAAGAAGTGTCTTGTTGTGTCACTTCTGGTCACACCCGCATTAGCCAACAGTTCAGTACAACACTGAGCTATCATATTGTGAGCCATGCGAACCTTTTTTTCAGATCTTTCACCTTGTTGGAAGGTGACGATCAGATGACTGAAAGGCTGCATTTGATCCTCCAGTGAAAGGTGACCAAACTTGTCTCTTCTGAGGAAGTCCAGGCACTGAGACTCCAGGAGATATGAACCTGGTACGTAGGCGTTCAGCAGACACAGGAAGGCAGCAAGCTGCATCTTCAGTGGCTTATTTGTTCTTTTGATATGTTCTAATGTAGCACATGCGTTCCTGATGTAGGCTTGAGAGAAATTAGACTGCAGAATGTTAAAACCATGAAACTGCTTGCACCGATCACCAAATCTTCTGCCAAGCTCTTCTTTTTTCATATCAAAGTCTGCTTGCTCTCTGTCTGAGAGAGCTTTTTTGAGAATAATAGATTTTCTCATTTTCGTCTTGAACTTTTGTTTCAGTTCATAAGAACGCGCCTTTTGGTGGATAATCCCGTCACTGCTTCTCACACAGTTCAGTAAAATTACTACAGGCAAATCAATTTCTATATCCTGTTCAGCAATCTCTTCCATAATCGTGTCCTGGAGGATGTCCAATATGAACTCATCATTTAGTAACAACAGTACCGTTTTCTGGTGGCCATGGCTACCTGCTGTAAAAAGGCTGACCACATGTTGCGCAACTTTTGTGATATCTAATGTTGAGCCTGTCAAAACAGCACATCTGAAGGTTTTCCTCAAGTCCCACAGCACCTGCATAGCTAGTGTGGTTCCCCCACATCCTTGTTGATGAAACAGTTTAATTGTTGATGTCCCAGGGCCTTTTCTTCTCAGGTGAATTTGTTCTTTAAGGGTTTCATATCCATCTCGTTTGATAAAAGGAGTTGCATTGCCATCTGACACTGCTTGTTCACTGATATAGAAGTTTAACCAGTTCGGTGGGGCCCCTCTGTAAAAGTTTTCCTCCACTTGCTCAGCGTGTTGAGGTTCAACAAACTCTCCTTCAAACTGATTGGCATGGAGGACATCCAAAAATGAGAAGGAATCACTGATTTTACTCCTTGCATCTGCTTCTCCACCTTCAGCAGTGGACAGGGCTGGTCTGTTTGCCATCTTCACACTTTCACTTTACTTCATGGTAATGAATGTAAAAACAAAACACAAACATTTGTTAGTCTTATGTCTTAGCTTAAACTATTTGTAAATTAAGCTCTTACATTCACTTTATGGAATGTGATATATTTAAATAGCCATTTCATTGCTGGTGGAGTACACACATATATAGCCTTCTCCATGTAAAGGACCAAACATTAACTTCAACAAAAACTTTCAGATCTTAACGGGATTTATCTTACCTTCTTTAAAATGTCGCGGACAGCTCTAGCGATCTGCTATTAGGCCATGCGTTCAAGCACTGGGACCGTGGATGTGTACTGTAACCCAGGAGGTAGTAGACACACCCAAAGCAGGAAGAGATAATCCCTTACAAACATGGACACCTCTACACTTTTAACGTCAGAGCAGTTTTAAAACAATCCCAGGCGCATTTCCTTCTTGCTTAAAGTTTTTTTTTTTTAAAGGCAGGGGCTACACTTGACTCGTTCAGTCGATAAACAAGTCAAATATTGCACAATTAGAAGCCAAAGAGTGGAAATTTGCAAATTTATCCAGCACAAATAATAAAATAGGTGGTATATGTTAATTTTGTCCTATATTCAAACATTACGTGCACTTCTTCAAAGCGGTATTGTATTCATAAGTTCATTTGATAAGGAAACGTTCATCACAACAGGAAATACTGACGTTTCACTATGAACGCGTTCATGACGGAAGATTATTCTTTCCGTCACTAGTTCGCGCTTGTGGTTGAGTTAACCTGTTATTCAAGTTCATATAGAGATAAAGTTAAGTGTTACGAACGAGAACGATATAACGATATGATGATTTACAAACGTGTACAATGATTTGTGTGTAATGAGGACTCACAAGCGCGTGCTTCGATCGACCATGTAAAACCCTCCTACGCATGCGCATATCCAAGCCTGAATAAAGGGTTTCAAAACCGTTATGTGCTGCCGACGGGAAGCTCAATATTGACGTTTCGATACCGTATTGAGTATCTACGGTCATTGGTATTGAGTCACCGAGGCACAGATGTTTCAAAACCCTGTTCCAAAGTGCGGTAGAAAACACCCAGGTCACGTGACCACGACAAACTCCGACGTTGTTGTGTGTTTCACGCCTGTTTCGACAGGTGGCGTACTTGCTGCTTCCAGCCAACGAGAGGCGCCAGGATATGAATCAGTGATGTTTTTGACATTAAAGCTTCTATTTTTTGGTGTGTGTAAAAACAAAAAATGTATCTAATTATTCTTATTCTTATTATTTGATGAGATATAAAATCATACGTAAACTCATTAAAATATCTCAATAAAAACTCATCTACTTTCAGGGAGAAACACAAACGTTTCTTTCATATTAATAAGCATGATATTGGCCTGAATGTAGCTGGGTAAGACATGTACAACAGAGTCTTTATGTTGACATAGTTCAATGTCCTTGGTGTCTGATTTAGTCCATCTTT